CTCATGCTGCAGGTTGGGGAGCTGCAGGGGTCAGGAAGGATCTCTCATTGCCTACGTGGCCAGGTGCAGGGGGAGGAGGGATGTTGGGCAGGAAAGTTGTATCTTGACAGCTGCTGGCGCCGGGCTACTGCAAGTATGAACCAGTGGCCTGTTCAGATGTGGAGGAAAGTGGGCTACTAGACAGAGGGGCCAGGCGGCCTGATCCAGAGCAGGGGGCTGCTGGGTTAGATGGGCCAGGGGGTGTGATCTGGAGTGGCAAATCTGAGACTCCTTTAAGAGGGTGCACTCCAGCCTCCTACCCCGTCTTCTTAAGGAGCCTGCTGACCCAGACCCAGGCTCACGGCCTAGCTTTGGGGCTGGGGCGCTGGGCTCGGGCTGCCTTTGAAATGGTTGGCTCTCACTGCGCTGCAGCAGATCCCCCTGGGCCTGCACCTGTCCCCCTCACTCTCACTCTGTTACAGGCAGTTCCCAGGAGTGGAGCCGGAGGAGAGGGAGCCCGGCATGCTGGAGCTGGAGCCAGCGGCCCCATCCCCGGGGAAAAGTCTTCCGCTTCTGTTGATACAGGGGAAAGGGAGAGGCCCAGAGCCTGGGGCAGAAACCAGCGGGGCCTGTGAAGAGGGCACCCCCAAATCATAGCTGGGGCTGTGCAGAATGCACCCCATAGTCGTGGCTGGGGGCAGGGAGACATGCTCTGGAAATGCACCATAATGCTACATGGGGAGTTGCAGTTGGCAGGCTGGCCTTGTCCAGGACTCTCCCCAAATTGTGGCTGCTTTAAGGGTACCTAACAGTTTCAATGCCTCCCTCCCTTCCCCCCATCCTACTCTCACCCCCCCACCCCCCGCCGTAACTTGACCCTTTGCTCACAGCAGTTGTTCTTGGCACTGGGGGGACTTTTCCATGACAGCACAGAGCCGAGATCCTCTTTATTTTCTGCCTTTGAATAAACGCTGCTTTTCCGGCTGCCTGGCCCCGCTCACACAAGCTGCGTGCTCGAGTCCCCGTCTTCGACCCCCACATCGCCCATGGGGGCCCATGCCCCGCTAGGCTCCCTGATGCCCCACTGGTGCGGGGAGGGCCAGGGGAATCATCTCAGGTCATGCCAGTCTCCCCTCAAGCAACCCCAGCCCCTCCTTCCGGGGACCCGCAGTAATGAATCCCAGAACCCCCTAAGGAGCAGCCACCAGTCCAAAGCGGCAGGAACCAGGGGAATTCAGTGTCCCTGCTTTGGCAGAGCATCCCTGGGGAGGGTGAAGTCACTGGCATAGCATTCAGGGCACAGCGCTGTCTATGCCAGGGCAGCATTGGCAGGACAGCTAGAGGTCCCAGCTCCCCCTCACCCCCAGCCCCCATGTGTTGTCTGTGGCTTGAGTTCGGTTCCCAAACACCAGCTGCCTCCCCGAGCTCTCTGGGCTGCTGGGCTCATAAACTGGGGCAGGAAGCTCCCGAGAGCGGGAATCCTGATGTGATTCCCACCACTCCCTGTGACCGCTGCGCGTGGGAATGCTGGGATAGGAATAGCCTCTCTCCTGGCATTCTGGCCCTGGGGCTCCTGCACGGAGCAGAAGCAGTCTGCCATCGTCAGAGCACCACCAGCAGACTGGGGTCAGGGGCACTGGGAATGCCATCATACACAGGGCCATGATCTTTTGCCTGTCCCTCGGAGGATCTTAAAGCACTTCACACTCATGTGCGAGCTGAGCCAGACACCCCTGGGAGGGGCGTCAGGATCATTCCCACGTTGCAGAGGGGGAAACTGAGGCACAGAGCATGAAAGTGACTTGCAGGTCAGTGGCAGAGCTCAGAGGAGAACCCAGGAGTCTGGCCCATGTTAGCCACAAGCCCTGCATTTGGGAGGGAGTTGCCCAAAGTTCCTCATCTCAGCTCCAGTTTGAGCGCTGGGCGGCGAGCCAGTGTGACCCTGGCCTGCTGGAGAGCAGCCCCCGCCTCCAGAGCAGATCTGACTCCCAACACCTTCCTCGGGCATGAGGCTCAGGTGTGCAGAAGAAGCCAACAGCCGTAAATTCTGTCAGAGTCTCCATCAGTGTGAACTTCCCAGCACCCCTCCCTCCCAGACCCCCATCAGCCAGAGCACCTGGGACAGGCAGGCTGGCTGCTGAGCCTGGGGCTTCATCACCCGACCACTAGAGCCCCCAGATGTCTGCTCAGCTCCCCCTTCTGATGCCCTTCTGATGACCGTGGTGAGTAATGAGCCTGTTAGCGCATTTTTCAGGCATAGATCTCAAAGCGCTTTATAGTGGAAGGTCAGGATCATTTGTCCCATGTGGGGAAACTGAGACACGGAGCAGGACCAACCAAAAATGGGGTCCCCTTGAGCAAGGTGCTGTACAAGCTCAGAATAGTGGCTAAATAGCGGCAGAGCCAGGAGCAGAACCCAGGTGTCACAAATCCCACTAGGCCACACTGCTTAACCAACATAACCGCTCATTTCCTCTCGCCCTTTTTGTAGCTTCTCTCCAAACTCCCTTCTGCCAGTCTCCGGCCAGCCCCTCTTGATTGGTGTCCTGGGCCCCACATCAGACTGTACCACCAGCTGGCATCCCTGCCCCCGGGCTCTTCAGTACTATCGGTTGGGGAACCCAGCAGGCTCTTTCGAAAGCATGTTTGGAGCAACTGCTTCCCTCTGGCAGGGGAGACGCCCCGGCTCCCCCGCTGGGCTTCTTGCCAACAGCCGGAGTGCAGGCGGGTGTTGTCGCTGGCCATTCTTGGGACAACGGTCCAAGGGGCTGTAGGGCGATGCCTAGCCCCATCCCAAACTGGAGACCGCAGCAAAGATCCAGCATCTCCCCCACCCCAGCTGAGCACCACAGACCCCACTGTGGGTCAGCAGTGGGGGGAGGAGTTCGTAGTATAATCCATTCCTGCACCCCACCCCCACTCCACCCCATCTGGTTGTTCCATGGGGAAGGCCAGTGGCCCATGGCATTGGGCGCAAGGCAGAAATGCTGCAATCCCAGAGCTGGCATCAGGCCAATGCTGATCCTCAGTGTCCCTTTAAGGGTGTATTTTGTGGGCTGTATTTTTCCCCTCTGGGGGCACTGGCTCCAGTCTGGTCCTGGGGCAGGACTGGCTGGTTTGTGGAGAGCAAAGGTGATGAGGAGCCATTTACCCCTAGGGCATTGGTTATAATGCAGCCCTCCAGCTCTAATTCAGGGGACTGTAAGGGGCTGGGCAACAGGACAGAAGCCTTTTCCCACTGGGCTCCTGGCCCTAGCCTGGCCTTGGACTGGGAGGGCAGCTGGGCCTGGGGAAAGGAGCCTTGTACCTCTAGATTGTTAGTGGCTCTTTGAACCCACCTCCCCCCTTGTGTCCTGGGTCCACAGCTGGAGGTAGCTTGAGCAGCTAGCCCCATGGTAGCTAAACCTCTGGGCCTGGAAGCAGGCAGGCGCCTGGGATCCAGGCGCTCACAGAGCTTCCCCACATGGGCCTTTGGGGAGGGATGCTCGGGGCTCTTTGCTGTGGGGTTTGCTGAGTGCTGGGGCTGACACAGAGATACCTGCGTCCAGCAGCATTCTAGACACCCGAATCAATCAGCTGCGTCATGGCCTTAACTGTGAAATGAGTTGGCAGGTCTCAGCCCAGTGTGTTGGGGCGGTACCGCCTCCTCCCCAATCCTGATCGGCAGAGAGGCCGTGGAGTTAGCAGGCCATGGAGACTAGGTCCCTTCTCCATGGGTGAAGCACTGTGATGGGATGGTTGGGGGTTGGGGGGAGTCGGCACTGCCTGGGCTGCTCCTGCTCTGGGGTTACACGGAGCCTCCTCTCCAGGCCTGTCAAACCGGTGTCCTTCACCAGCACTCAATGCTTATGATCAGTCATTGTCTGTATTATGGTAGTGCCTCAGAACGTCACCCTTGCACCGAGACCCCCACGGTGCTAGGTGCTGTATGTTATTAGGTGTATTACGGTAGTGCCTCAGTGTTCCACCCATGCACCAGGACCCCATGGTGCCAGGTGCTGTATGTTATTTATTAGGTGTATTATGGTAGCGTGTCAGAGCCGCAGCCACAGACCAGGACCCCATGGTGCTAGGCGCTGCACTTTATTTATTAGGTGTATTACGGTAGCACCTCAGCGCCCCACCCATGCACCGGGACCCCATGGCACTAGGCACTGTACGAACACAGAACAAAGAGACAGAACAAAGAGCCACAAACAGCTTCCAATCTAAGTGTAAGATGAGAGGCAATTGGTGCAGAGAGACCCACAGACAGTGCAGCCCAACATCCATTCTCCTGTTCCTGGCTGTACTCCCCCTTTTCTGATCTCTTGCAGCCAGATTTGGGATGGAGAGGGGAACACGACCCCGCCCTCGTCCACTCATGGGTCTCGTCTCCCCCAGGCCTGACCTGCCACAGCAAGAGTGTGGGAGAGATACCAGGAATCTCTCAACCCTGCTGCAGGAGAAGCCGCTCCCTGGAGACCTGCCTAGGTTTTGTCTGAGGCCCAGAGCATCCGGGGACAGGACACTTGGGCTGTCCTGAGCTGCCAGGTGGCCAGAGCTAGGTTCTCTTCTACGTTGGTTGCTCTGAAGTCCTGGCTGAGGACCTGGGGGGGCAGGGAGGAGGCTCTGTCTGCACTGAGCTCATTCCCACTTGCCACCCAGCGCCTTCTGCCAGGGGGACACTCTGACCCAGTTCTGGATCTGAGCATCGCCAAAGATCAGACTTTGGCTCCACCAGCAGTGGGGATGGGCCCAGTGGGCATCCAAACTTCTCCAAAGGTCAGGGGTGAGGGGCCCCCTCTCCTGGGCTCCCAACATACAGACTGGCACCCCCTCGCCCACCAGCGGGTGACCACAGCCCAGACAGTCCTGGGCTCCCATGCCTGCCCGTGACCTTCGTGCCGCGTGGCTGCCGTGGGTTGGGATGCCCCTCCTCCCTGCGTCTCTCTCCTCCCCGTGGGTCTGTGTGGCATCTGGGGTCCCCTGCCCACTGAGGTAACGCAACCCCTCTTTCTTCCCCACCCCTCCCCTGGCAGGTTGGGAGGGAGTATTCGCCGGCGGCAACCACCTCCGAGAATGGTGGTGGCAAGAAGAAGCAGAAGGAGAAGGAGTTGGATGAGCTGAAGAAGGAGGTGAACCTGGTAAGGATCCGCTCCATCCCATGAGCACTGCTTGGGGGCTGAGCTGTGTTCCCCACCAAGGCAGGTCACTCCCCCACGCTTATGTGGCTGTGAGGCTGCTTCTCCCCCATCCTTGCTAGATCTCGCTGATCACCCCTCTGATCAGCACCTAGCATCAGACACCAAGGCAGTAGGAGACAGAAACAGTGGGTGGAAGGATGGATGGATGGATAGTGCAGATGGCTGGCTGCTGGATAGATGGATGGTGCAGGTAGATGGATGGATGGATGGATGGTGCACGTGGGTGAGTGGATGGATGGGTGGATAGATTCTACAAATAAATAAGAAGCAAGAGGAAGACCAAGGACAGGGTAGGCCTGATACTAAATGAGGGTGGAAAAACAATAACAGAAAATGTGGAAATGGCAGAAGTGTTTAATGACTTTTTTGTTTCAGTTTTCACTGAGGTTAATGAAAAGGCTAGTAGTGATTGGACTTTTAACATAGTGAATGCCAGTGAAAATGAGGTAGCATCAGAGGCTAAAATAGGAAAAGAACAAGTTAAAAATTATTTAGACAAGTTAGATGTCTTCAAGTCACCAGGGCCTGATGAAATCCATCCTAGAATACTCAAAGAGCTGACTGAGGAGATATCGGAGCCATTAACGATTAGCTTTGAAAAGTCATGGAAGACGGGAGAGATTCTAGAGGACTGGGAAAGGGCAAATCTAGTGTCCATCTATAAAAGGGGGAATAAGGACAACCCGGGGAATCACAGACCAGTCAGTTTAACTTCAGTACCTGGAAAGATAATGGAACAAATAATTAAGCAATCAATTTGCAAACACCTAGAAAATAATAAGGTAAGATAAGATAATAAGGTAAATAAGACAATTTGCAAAATGGGAAATGACTGCCTAGGAAGGAGTAATGCAGAAAGGGATCTGGGGGTCATAGTAGATCACAAGCTAAATATGAGTCAACAGTGCAACACAGGTGCAAAAAAAGCAAACATCATTCTGGGCTGTATAGGAGTGTTGTAAACCAAACCCGAGAAGTAATTCTTCCACTCTGCTCCATGCTGATTGGGCCTCAACTGGAATATTGTGTCCATTTCTGGGTGCTACATTTCAGGAAAGATGTGGACAAAGTCCAGAGAAGAGCAAAAAAAATGATTAAAGGTCTAGAAAACATGACCTAGGAGGGAAGATTGAAAAAATTGGGTTTGTTGAGTCTGGAAAAGAGAAGACTGAGAGGGGGCATGAGAAGAGTTTTCAAGTATGTAAAAGGTTGTTACAAGGAGGAGGGAGAAAAATTGTTTTTCTTAAGCTCTGAGGACAGAACAAGAAGTAATGAGCTTAAATTGCAACAAGGAAGGTTGAGGTTGGACATTAGGAAAAACTTCCTAACTGTCAGAGTGGTTAAGCACAGGAATAAACTGCCCAGGCAGGTTGTGGAATCTCCATCATTGGAGATTTTTAAGAGCAGGTTAGACAAACACCTGTCAGGGATGGTCTAGATAATACTTAGTCCTGCCAGGAGGGCAGGGCACTGGACTGGGTGACCTCTCGAGGTCCCTTCCAGTCCTATGATTCTATTCTATGATTCTACGGATGGTGCAGATGGCTGGCTGGATAGATGGACGGATGGTGCAGGAGGGTGGGTGGATGAAGGGTGGGTACCATAGATGGACAGTGTCTCTTACACTCCAAATCTGCTTTCCCTGTATACTGTGGGTGGCTGGGGTCTCTCTGCCCTGGTGGCTCCGGGAGCCAGCCTCACCCCAGGAAGTCATGGACAGCAGGCCAGGTGAGCCCTTTGGATCTGGTTCTGTTCCCAGGACATTCAGCTCTCTTGCTAGTCTCACTGTGACCTTCCCCCACCTCTCCCCTGGCAGGATGATCACAAGCTGTCTCTGGATGAACTGGGCAGGAAATACCAGGTGGATCTGTCCAGGGTAAGTCAGGACATGTCAGTGTCTGTGGGTTGGTGCCCCTCCCTCACATTGCCCTCTCCCCCACCACTCTCCCTCCCCATCACCCTCCACTCCCCTCTTGCCTCCTCCCCTCTCATCCCACCTCCCCTCTCCCTCCACCTCTCGCTCTCCCTCCTCCCCATCACTCCTTGCTCCCTGCCTTCCAGTTTCCAGGCTGCGCTGCCATCCTGCCCTACACCACTGCCTGATGACAATCGCTGCAGCATCAGCCATCGCAGGTACCCTCCTGCTTCCCCCTCTCCCCCCCACCCCGCCATCTGACCTCAACCCCCTGGCAGATCTTGGAGAATTTGCCCTCACCCCTCCCTTAGGGTGGGGTCAGCCTGGTCTGGGCCCTGATTCCCAGGCTCCTGGGGTGCAGGTTCCGGGCAGTGTCCGGGCCACTCCATTCACCTGGTGCTCAGATCTACAGGGAAGGGTCCCCCCAGAAGCCCCACTGGGGGAGGGATTCCCCACCCAGAAGCCCCAGCAGACCCCTGGGGAAGATGAAGCCCCTTTCCCTGCAGTGTGAGTGGTTTGGCAGGGTGGGGGAGGGGCTTTTCTCTGGGACCCCTCCCCCTGCCCCTCAGCCTGGCTGTACCGGGCAGTGCAGGATTCAGGAGAACTGGCCCCACAGGGCTCTGTGATGCAGGGGAGGGAGCCTTGGGTAGCGGCTCCGCTCCCTTTGCCAGCTGCTGAGTACACTGGGTCCGGTGGGGAGGGGCCAACAGTGTGAAATGCCAGGGATATGGGGGCTCCTCCGGCCTTTGGGTGCTTTGAACCCTGGTAGTACGTAACTGGCTCTTTCTCTCTGTCCCTTCCTCCTTCCTCCCCGTTTTGTCGTTCCTCTGGGTTCTGTGTCACTCCTTTGCTCCCCTGCCATCCCTCCGAACCCCCTCTTCCCGGGCAGGGTCTGACGAACACCCGCGCAGCCGAGATCCTGGCACAGGATGGCCCCAATGCCCTCACGCCCCCCCCGACCACCCCCGAGTGGGTCAAGTTCTGCCGGCAGCTCTTCGGGGGCTTCTCTATCCTGCTGTGGATCGGCGCCATCCTCTGCTTCCTGGCCTACAGCATCCAGGCCGTGATGGAGGATGAGCCAGCCAACGACAACGTGAGCCACATGACCCGGGGCAGATCAGACAGGGGCGGGGTGAACCAAGTCATTCTGGCCTGCGTCCCAGGGCTGGGTTCAGCTGGATTCTCCACCCCACACCTGGAGTTTCTGGGGGTTGAACAAACCTCTAAATGGAACCACACTGAAACTCCCCTGCTTCTGTCCTTCCCCTAACGCTGTGGTGGTGGTGGTGGGGATTCAGGGGGAACCCTCTGTCTGGCCTGAACTTGATGGGGGGCTTGGTCTTACCTAAGGGGTGTGACCAGGTTTTGCATGGCAGGGCCATAGAGTCTCATCCCAGCCTCCCAGAGATTTCTGAGAACTTGGCCTGGGCGCAGGCTCCATGGGTCTCATCCGTTCGGTCAGCTCTGGGCTTTGATTCACCAAACTCAACCCAGACCAAGTGAGCAGCATCTCCTGGCCAAGGCAGGGAGAGCCGGGGTGAACTGGTCCCACCTGGACACTCCCAGCATTGGGGGACGGGTGAGGAACGGTTCACTGTCCCCCGGCATTGAAAGCAAGCTCCAAAACGACTCAGCCCTGTTTCCTAAATAAGAGCTGTAGTAACACAGGCGGCAGCTCTGCCTCGGCAGCCGTCCCACCCGCACGGGAGACCTGCAGGTGCTGCAGTGAGCGAGGAGGGGGCTCCGGAGGGGGTGCTCTCCCTTCGCTCTCAGGGCTGGCCCCACCGCTCCAGTGCAGTGCTAGGGGGCGCTGTGCTGCAGGGAATGGTGAGTCGGGGGCGCTCTCCCTGTGGAGCCAGTACTGAGCATTGTGGCCAGGGCCTCGCCTTTGGGATGAGACACCAGCCCAAGTCCCAGCTACTTGCGTTCATTAAGGAACCGACTTTTCATCTCAGTGGGGGTGTTAGCCCGGCCAAACTCCATCTCCAGGAATTACCTACTTCCCCTTACAGGGTCAGATATTTGTCACTTCCTGTCCTAAACTGCTGGGCAGCATCGCTGTGCGTCTGTTAAGCAGCTGCCGTGTCCCACCCCAGGGGCGGCTGCATTGCGGCAGTGGGTGAAGGAATCCCCTATGTCTGAATAGTCTCCTTCTCTCCCCAGCTGTACCTAGGCATGGTGCTAGCTGCTGTGGTCATAGTCACTGGCTGCTTCTCCTACTACCAGGAGGCCAAGAGCTCCAAGATTATGGATTCCTTCAAAAACATGGTACCACAGGTAGGAGCCCCCCTCTCCCATCCTCTGCACCCTGCTGGCACCACATGGCATGGAAAGGGAGGAGACTGACCACCTGAATAAAGGCAACTCAGGCTGGAAGGGTCATGGTCAAGCTACAAAACATTGATTGCAACAAACCCACAGCTACCTAGGAGTGCCCACTTCATGGGGGATAGAACCTGGGTCTTCCTGCCCCTAAGGCCCAGCCTCCTGAGCTAGAGGAGGATCCTCACTGACTGCTAGCAATATAGGACCTATGACACACAGCCAAGCAGTTCTGATTCCATCCTGTAGAGGGAAGAATTTTCCCCTCTTAGCCTCCCTTTTGATCCTAAATCTCTTTGGCAGGAGAGACAGACCCAAGCAGCACAAGTGGAATCTGGATTGGGGACACCTGTAAAGGCTTGGGGCAGGGTCTGGGGTTTTGGTCCATTTGGGAAACATGGGTTCAAGTCCAGTTTCACGATGTTAAGATCTCGGCCGGTCCCCTGCAGCGGGTAACCCAGCCAGTGTGGTTCCCTGGCTCCCTCTAGTGGTGGCCGGGCCACAAATAGGAGTTGATGAGCCCGCAACAGCCATGGGGAAATGGCCTTTTAGCTCAGTAGCAGCAGATGTCTTTAGACCCAGAGTTCCCAGATTCCAGGGGTGTTGCAAGAGCTGTTGTTGCAGAAATATCCCAGGCCATCGCTGAGTGATGGGAGAGGAGAATACAGAGCTGGAGGCTCTCCAGGGGCCCCTGAGCCCGTCTGGGGGATCCACCTCCTCCCTGAGCTGGCAGCGCAGAACGGGGCCATTTCTGAGTCTGGACGCAACCGTGCTCAGCTTTTGATTTTGTCCCAACCGCTCAGGCCTCCGTGCTTCCTCCTTCCAGCCAGTCTCTGAAACGCTGCATTGATGGGCTGGGATCCCCCTCTCCCGCTGGCAGAGTCACCCCACTGAAGTGGAGAGAGATCAGAATCAGGCCGGTGCCATGCCTTGCCTGGCCGGCAGCAGGAGAGCCCGCAAGGCAGGCGTTCCCAGCCCGGAGAGAGAAGATCCTAATGGAGCTGATTGCTGAGCACTAGGGGTGGTGGGGACAGAGGAGCAGCTGGAGTGGTGGGTGGGCAGCACTTCCCTCTGCTGGCTGGAAGAGGGGGCGCAGCTGTGACCCCCCGACACACACTGTGAGACCAGAACTCCACTGGGAGTTTCAGCGGAGCCCAGCAGCAGGCCAAGCCCTGGGTAAGGGTGGGGGTGGGCTCAGGACCACATGCACTTGCAGCTTTGCTCACAGCTTCTGCTGGCAGGGCCGTTCTGCAGGGCTCTCCCACAAGGGGCTGGGACCCATCAGGTCAGATGGGGGTCAGCGGTGCGCAGCAGGCTGGTGCGTTACAGGGGGTTCCAGGGGTGCGGGAGCCGGGTGCACCTTTTGCCTTTACCTCCTCTTGCCTTTACCTCTCCTTCTGGCTATGTTGGGCAGCAAGCCCTGGTGATCCGGGAGGGCGAGAAGATCCAGATCAACGCTGAGAACGTGGTGGTGGGAGACCTGGTGGAGGTGAAGGGGGGAGACCGGGTCCCTGCCGATCTGCGCATCATCTCCTCCCATGGCTGCAAGGTGAGGATGGCGGAAATGTGCCCCGGGCTGCTGTGGGGGCTTCATAGGCTAGAGGAGAGGGAGGCATGGCGGCTATAGGGCAGCCAGTACTGCTTTATTTAGACTTGTGGACTGACAGGCCAGCTGGACAGATGGACCCTGCTTTGTCGATCTTACATGAAAAGGCTAAAGAGGCCTTGCTGCTCTCGTGGCTCTATGAGATCTACCCACGGGGCCATAAAGGGTGATATTGGTGTCTGCCTTCTTGGAGGGGCCGCTGCGGCACACCCCACGGGCAGCAGGCTATGTCAGGACAGCCTGGGGGAGGTTGCAGGGTCTCGGCCCGGCCCAACCTGCAGGTCCCATGGGAATCCAGGGCTCCCCTGCAGGGATGGGGTGAAAATGGAGGCCGTGCTGTCCCTGTATGCCCGGCTGCAGCATGGCCAGCCCCTTGAGGGAGCAGCACTGCCAGCCCAACCCTTGGCACCCTCGGAAACCCCCCAGCCTGCCCTGATAAGGGCCCTAATGCCTCCCCTGCCCCAGGATGATAAGCACCCCGAATCCAACCCTCCCCATACCAGCTGCGGAACCCCTCCCCCCTTCCATCCCCAAGCTCGAGCGTCCACATTCTCCCCCGCCCCCCTCCAGCAGCGCAGCTGCCAGGCGCCCGCAGTGAGCTGCGTGGGATGAGGGAACCTGCCAGCAGCCCATGGTCTCTGCAGAGGGCCCCGTGGGAACTGGTGCTGAGGATGGGGGGCACTCGAGAGGTGGGACATGGGATCCTCAAGAGTAGGGGGGGTGTCCAACTGTCTATTCGGGCAGAATCAGGGCTTATAGGCTGAGGCCGGTGACGGGGCAGGGGACTGATAATGACTGGGGCAGATTGCCCCCGTGCTGTCTGTCTGTTCTTCCCATCTCTGTCTCTTTTGGGCCCCGAGGCCCCTGACCGGCCTCCCGTTGCCTCGGCAGGTAGATAACTCCTCCCTGACGGGCGAGTCAGAGCCACAGACCCGCTCCCCCGAGTTCACCCACGAGAACCCCCTGGAGACCCGCAACATCTGCTTCTTCTCGACCAACTGTGTGGAAGGTGAAGGGGGGAAGGGGCCACCTGGTCCGCTCAATTTAGGGCCTGGCCCTGGATCTGCAGGTCTGCCCCACGTGCCCCCCAGCACTGAGCCTGGAGCGGTTATGGAGCCCTGAAATCAGTGTGCTTTGGGGAGGGGTGGTGATGAGGAATCGGCGGGGCGGGGGGGACTGAGCAAAAGGCAGTTGAAATGGCCAGACTGGGGGGAAATAAAAGGGGTTATTACCCCCAGGGCAGCCTAACCCCAAAATTGCAGAGGCAGTGCCCGGGAGGGTGCCCGGGCAGACGACTGGGCCGTGATGCCAGGAAGGTCTGGCCATGACACACAGACCGCTGTGCTGAGAGACGGGCCACAGGGAATGCTGTGCTGAACAGAGAGCCCTGGAGGCTGGGGGGCCTGTTGCTCAGAGAAGGGCCTAACCCTAGAGACAAGCCAGGCCTCAACCCCTGCCAGGCCCATCACCCACCCAATGGATGGCACGCACTCGCCCACTAAGAGTGAGGGGCTTCGTCCAGTCCTGATGCTGAAAACAAGGGGCCAGCCTGGTGGGATGGGCTGAGACCCCCACAAGCTCATTGCACAGAATACCCACCAGGCAGGGTTCAAGTGGATCCCTGGAGGTCAAAGGCTCGTGGTCCAGGGCTGAGAGGATACCCAGGGCCCAATCAAGTGGTGCATGGGGGAGTTGCATCAATGTTGGGGTCCCTCAATCCTCAGTCCCTCCTGAGCCCCCTCCCAGCCCCGAACCCCTCACCCCAGTTCCAGTCTTCCCCATAGAAGTACTTGAAATACCTGTCCCCCCTCCCCCACCACTGCACTAGGCACTGCCCGGGGCATCGTCATATCGACCGGGGACCGCACAGTGATGGGCCGCATTGCCTCGCTGGCTTCGGGGCTGGAGGTGGGCCGCACCCCCATCGCCATGGAGATCGAGCACTTCATCCAGCTCATCACTGGGGTGGCCGTCTTCCTGGGCCTCTCCTTCTTCATCCTCTCCCTCATCCTCGGCTACACCTGGCTGGAGGCCGTCATCTTCCTCATCGGCATCATCGTCGCCAACGTCCCGGAGGGGCTCCTGGCAACCGTCACGGTAACAGGTTCCGTTCCTGCACTGCCCCAGGGCGGGGCTGGGTGTCTGGCCAGGCCCCTCGGGCACAGCCAGCGCAGGGCGATCTGACCACACTGGCAGTTCCGGGTGCAAATCCTGCCCCCGCCTCGCCTGCTCTGACCCCCTCTCCCCTGGCCCACAGGTGTGTCTGACCCTCACCGCCAAGCGCATGGCGCGCAAGAACTGCCTGGTGAAGAACCTGGAGGCGGTGGAGACGCTGGGCTCCACCTCCACCATCTGCTCCGACAAGACGGGCACCCTCACCCAGAACCGCATGACGGTCGCCCACATGTGGTTCGACAACCAGATCCACGAGGCTGACACCACCGAGGACCAGTCTGGTGAGAGACCATCGCTGCTACCTGCCACCTGCTCCCCCTGCCCCCTCTACCTGTGCCCCCTGCCATCTGTGCCATCACCACTCCACCACCTCCTTCCCCTTCACCAGTGCCATCACCACCCTGGCATCCCTGCCCACACCCCCACCACTCATGCTCCTCCCACACCATTGTGTCCTTCTGCCTGCCACTACCACCACTGCCCGCACCCCTGGGACTGCCACCACCGCCCACACCCCGCCCGCACCCCTGCCACTATCACCACCACAGCCCGCACCCCTAGGACTGCCACCTCCGCCCACACCCCGCCCGCACCCCTGCCCCTATCACCACCACTGCCCGCACCCCTGCCACTACCACCACCACTGCCCGCACCCCTGGGACTGCCACCTCCGCCCACACCCCACCCGCACCCCTGCCCCTATCACCAGCACTGCCCGCACCCCTGGGATTGCCACCTCCGCCCACACCCCGCCCGCACCCCTGCCCCTATCACCACCACTGCCCGCACCCCTGGGACTGCCACCACCGCCCACACCCCTGCCCCTATCACCACCACTGCCCGCACCCCTGGGACTGCCACCACTGCCCACACCCCGCCCGCACCCCTGCCCCTATCACCACCACTGCCCGCACCCCTGGGACTGCCACCACCGCCCACACCCCGCCCGCACCCCTGCCCCTATCACCACCACTGCCCGCACCCCTGGGACTGCCACCTCCGCCCACACCCCGCCCGCACTCCTGCCCCTATCACCACCACTGCCCGCACCCCTGGGACTGCCACCTCCGCCCACACCCCGCCCGCACCCCTGCCCCTATCACCACCGCTGCCCGCACCCCTGGGACTGCCACCACCGCCCACGCCCCGCCCGCACCCCTGCCACTATCACCACCACCGCCCACACCCCGCCCGCACCCCTGTCACTATCACCACCACTGCCCGCACCCCTGGGACTGCCACCTCCGCCCACACCCCGCCCGCACCCCTGCCCCTATCACCACTACTGCCCGCACCCCTGGGACTGCCACCTCCACCCACACCCCGCCCGCACCCCTGCCCCTATCACCACCACTGCCCGCACCCCTGGGACTGCCACCTCCGCCCACACCCCGCCCGCACCCCTGCCGCTATCACCACCACTGCCCGCACCCCTGGGACTGCCACCTCCGCCCACACCCCGCCCGCACCCCTGCCCCTATCACCACCACTGCCCGCACCCCTGGGACTGCCACCTCCGCCCACACCCCGCCCGCACCCCTGCCCCTATCACCACCACTGCCCGCACCCCTGGGACTGCCACCTCCGCCCACACCCCGCCCGCACCCCTGCCATTATCACCGCCACCTAAGTCTAAGATGACGCTAGCACTTTGCTGGTAAAACTTTTGCCAGTCGGGGTGTGAAAAAAAACACACCACTGGCCGACGTAAGTTTCACTGACAAAAGCACCAGTGTGGACAGCCATAGCTCCTGCTGCTCGTTGGGGTGCTTTAATTATGCCGGCAGGGGAGCTCTCTCTCATTGGCCCAGAGCGGCTACATGGGAGATCTTACAGTGGTGCAGCTGTAAGGTGTGAAGTGTAGACATAGCCTTAGCCTGCCGTGAGAGCAAACTGTCTGTCTCCACACACTGGGTAACAATACAGCATAGAGGGGAAACTGAGGCACAAACAGGACTCATACAAATATTACAAAATATTCCCACTTCGTCACACTCCCCCACTGCGTGTGCTGACCCCCCATCCCTACCCATGCCCCATGCCAACTCCACCTATCCTCTCACACAACGCCCCCATTGTGTGACCTTACCCCCTTCATCTCTTCCCATGCCCCCCACTACCAACACTGCCTGCACCCCCCATCTCCACCCATGCTTTCACCCCCCACCACTGTCCCCTCACCTGTGCCCTCGCCCCCTGTCATCACCACCCACGTGTCATGGCTGTCTGTACCCTACACCCATGCCCCCTGGGCCTCCTGCCACCCCATCCGTGCCCCCTGCCACCACCTCCACTCTGGCTACCAGCACCCCTAACTCATCATCTTGCGCATCCCCCTGCTCCAGCCGTCCTTGCCTCCCCCGACCTGCATCTGTCTAACCCCTGGTGCTGCTTCAGAGCAGGGCTGAGGTGGGGGTACAGGGGGGAACCTGTGGCACTGCAGGGTCAGCTGTGCTGAGCCCCAGAGTGTGCCCCGGGCAGTGCCTGCTGGGTGGATGTGACAAGCCCTCACACACAGCACCTGTGTTCCATGTTCCTCTCCCGAATTTCTGGCTCTTCTTTCCCTTGTTTGCCTCTGTCTGGGTTCGATCCCATGGGACCTGACTTCTGGCAGCTCTGGTTTGGAGACCTGGGCACCTCCCAGGAGCAGGCTCTGCTGGATTAGAGACTGTAGGAAAGATCCTGGCTACTCCATCCCGGCCTCTCCTGGCAGGGGATGGTGTAGGGGGTGGGGCAGGAGCACTGGCTGTGGGGGGAGTTCCTGACTACTCCAGCCTTGGCCAGCAGGGGGCACTGTACATGACAATGCTGCAACCAGGCAGTGGGGCTCAGCTCGCAGCTCCAGTCCTATGGTCGGGAGTCAGGGTGGGGTCATGTGGCTGATTGGTGTGTCTCCTTCCAGGTGCGACCTTCGATAAGCGCTCGCCCACCTGGGCGGCCCTGGCCCGCATCGCTGGCCTGTGCAATCGAGCCGTCTTCAAGCCAGGCCAAGAGAACGTCTCCATCTCCAAGGCAAGCTGGATTCCCGGACCCCACCCCTCACTCCTGGGCTCCCTGCACGGCTCCCACAAGTGAGATGGGTCCCAGCGCTGAGCACACCAGAATTCCCAGGGGATATGGGCTCTGAAGGTCTCCCTCTGTCCCCCCATGTCCTTCACGCTGCTCTGATCCCTGCCTGGGGCACCACGTGAGCACAAGGAGGGGGCCGTGAGGAGCTGCACTGAGATGGGATCTTGGCATCCCAAAGCCACAGCCGTCTGGCCACAACCAGATGGGCTCAGAATGCCCAGGGGGCCTGGACAGCCCCCAGCCTCTGCCACGCTGCCAGAGCTCTGTCCCGCCCGGACCCCTGGCCTGGGAGCTGGCCTCAGAGCACGCAGGGCCAGCCTGGGGAGAGAGCAGCCCATGGGAGTGTGCTTTCCTAGGGCCGGATCCCAGAGCCAGGGGCTGTTCAGTCTGACCCATAGCACGTGGCTGGGTTGTTCCCTGCCTCCGCAGAATTGTCAGCCTCAGAGCAATGCCCAGCAAGCCCCAAAGCCCGTTCGCCAGCCGCGCCAGATCAGACTAATACCCACCGAACCCCACGGCCCATCCACCAGCTGTGCCAGATCAGAGCAATGCCCTGTTAGCCCCATAGCCCATCCACCTGTTGTGCCAGACCAGAGCACGCACACCTCCCCTCCCATTGGCCAGGGACCCACTATCCCAGCCACGCCTCCCCCACCCCACATTGACTGTGGCCCCACCTTGCCTCCTCACCCATTGGCCATAGCCTTCCCCCACTTCCACATCCATTGGCCTCTGCCATGCCTCCTCTTCCATTGGTCATGGCCTCACCCTGCCTCCCCTCCTACTTGCTGTGACCCCAGCCACACCTTCCCTCCTGTTGGCCAGGGCTCCACTACCCAACCCCATCCATTGGCCATGGTCATGACTGCCCTCCCATTGGCCATGACCCCAGACGCACCTCTCATCCCTTCACCCCACCAGTCTGCCCTTGCCTTGCACTGATGGCCCCTCTCCCCTCGGCAGCGGGACACAGCGGGCGACGCCTCCGAGTCGGCCCTGCTCAAGTGCATCCAGCTCTCCTGCGGCTCCGTCAAGAAGATGCGGGACAAGAACCCCAAAGTGGCAGAGATTCCCTTCAACTCCACCAACAAGTACCAGGTGGGCTGGGGCATGGGTCCGGGGCTCAGAGGGGCACAAGCTGCGTTGATGTGGGCACAGATCAGGAACACAGCATCCTCAGCCCCCAGCTGCACAGTGGGGCGCTGGCCACTCGGCTCCCAGCCCCACAGCATCCTCAGCCCCCAGCTGCGCAGTGGGGTGCTGGCCACTCGGCTCCTGGCCCCACAGCATCTTCAGCCCCCAGCTGCGCAGTGGGGTGCTGGCCACTCGGCTCCCGGTCCCACAGCATCCTCAGCCCCCAGCTGTGCAGTGGGGCGCTGGCCACTCGGCTCCCAGCCCCCCAGTCCCTCAGCATCCCCAGTCCCCAGCTGAGCCGGCTGAGCTTGGCTGTTGCCAACATTCGTTCAGACGATTCAATCCCCATGGATAATAGTTGGGCATAGACAAGAGGCTGCACTCTGGCCAGAGACCAGCTCCCAGCCACAGCCTGCTGAGCCCCCAGACACAGGGCCAGGAGGAGCTGGAGGGAGGAAGGGAGCCCCAGGCCTGCTCAGGCTGTGTGTGCAGGGAGAGCAGCCCGGGGCAGAGGCGGGGGGAGGAGTGACACTGGGATGGGATGCAGAGGAGAGCAGGTGAGTTGGAGGCAAAAGGATGGGAGGACCTAGAGAGACAGAAGAAAAGGTCCTGGGTGGCCATGCGGGGAGTGGCAGGGGACTCGGTCCCTTGCGGGGTGCAGCGCTGGAGGGAGGCAAGCCCCGTCCTCCCAGCGTGGCTCCCCCCTAGCCGGCTCCCCCTTGTGTTCCAGCTCTCCATCCACGAGCGTGAGGACAACCCCGAGGGCTACTTGCTGGTGATGAAGGGCGCACCGGAGCGCATCCTGGACCGCTGCTCCACCATCCTGGCGCAGGGCCAGGAACTGCCCCTGGACGAGGAGATGAGAGACGCCTTCCAGAATGCCTACCTCGAGCTGGGCGGGCTGGGGGAGCGAGTGCTGGGTGAGGGCACCCGGGCACTGTGGGGGGGGAGGGCTGGGGGGGTACACAGGGGGAGATTGTGAAAGAGTGAACACCATGTGTGCGTGCGTGTGTGTGTCTGTGTGCAGGGGGGATTGGGAGTAACAACAGGGCAGGGATGATTGTGCACGGGGTTGGCGGGGGTGTCTGGCTGTGGCTCACGGTGGCGCTCTCGGCTCTCCCAGGCTTCTGCCACCTCCACCTACCCCAAGACAAGTTTCCCCGGGGGTTCAAATTTGACGCAGACGAGATCAACTTCCCCACCACTGGCCTGTGCTTCGTGGGGCTCATGTCCATGATCGACCCGCCCCGGGCGGCTGTGCCTGACGCTGTGGGCAAGTGCCGGAGCGCAGGGATTAAGGTAAGGCCCTTAGGCAGAGATCTCATTGCCAGGTCAGGCGAGCCCATACTCCAGGCTGAGGGCAGAGCAGCCCACACAGGTGGGGCCATGCGGACAGCCAGCTTGGCTTGCTGCCATGCTGGATACAAAGCCAGCGAGCCTGTGCGAAACCCAGCAGGCATGATGCCTTGGCCCAGACACTGCATTGTCAGAAGCAGAACCCACTGGCTCCTACTTTAACCACTAGACCACACTCCCCGCTGCATCTAGGAGTTCTGACTCCCAGCCATCCTGCTCTAACCACTCCTCCCAGTATTGGCTCCCAGACCACTACTTAAACCGCTAGACCCCACTCCCCGCTGTGTTTAGGAGTCCTGTTTCCAGCTACCATCCCCAGTCTAAAAACTCGACCTTGCTCCCCTCCTAGAGCTGGGAATAGAACCCAGGAGTCCTGGCTCCCAGCTTCCCTGCTCTTACCACTAGTCCCTACTCCTCCCAGAGCTGGGAACTGAACCCAGGAATCCTGGCTCCCAACTCCATTGCCATGGCACTGGGCCCTGCACATCAGTGTCCATGTCTTGACTGCTGCGTGGCTCCACCCCCAGGTGATCATGGTGACCGGTGACCACCCCATCACCGCCAAGGCCATTGCCAAGGGTGTGGGCATCATCTCCGAGGGCAACGAGACGGTGGAGGACATTGCAGCCCGGCTCAACATCCCCGTTGGCCAAGTCAACCCTAGGTAGGCTGGCCCTGGCTCCCAGGGTCCCCCGTCCAGGCTGTGGGGAACTGGCCAGCCCTGATGCTGTCTCTCCCTACAGGGAAGCCAAGGCCTGTGTGGTGCACGGCTCTGACCTCAAGGACATGACTGGGGAGCAGCTGGACGAGATCCTCAAGAACCACACGGAGATTGTCTTTGCCCGCACCTCCCCCCAGCAGAAGCTCATCATCGTGGAGGGCTGCCAGAGACAGGTGAGAGCCTGTGCCCGATCCCTGAGCACTCAGCCTGCCCCCTGTTGGCCAGCCTGACCCACACACCTGCCCCACTGGGGAGGCCTAGGCCAGTGCCCCCCAGGCTGCACGCCCCCGGGGACGGCTCTCAGCCTCGGTCACTCTGAATGGCTGGCTGGCCAGCGCAGCCAGGTGGGGAAAGGTCCTTGCCCTTCCGAAACTTGCCACCCTGCCCTGCTTCTAATAGAGCTGGGCACTATGGGTTAGTGACCCCCAGGGGAATTGCCATGGATACCACAGCACTCCTGTGTCCATGGGTTGAGCTGCGCCCAGCTGGCATGAAGGCTCGGTGCCATCTGGGCAGCTCTGCTCTCCTCCAGATGATCGCCGTGCGGTCCAGCTCCTAACCGGCAAGCTCAGAGCCATGCCCACAAGGGCTACCCCCTCCCCTAGCGCAGAACCCCCCGGGACATAAAAGGGGAGTAATTGCTCTAGGCACTAGACCCCACTCCACTCCCAGAGCTGGGAATAGAACCCAGGAGTCCTGACTCCCAACTGCCCTGCTCAAACCACTAAACTCCACTCCCCATCCAAATCAGGACTAGAACCCAGGAGCCCTGGCTCTCAGCCCCCCACTGCTGTAACCTCTAGACCCCCCTGCCCATCCGGAGTAAGAAATAGAACCCAGGAGTCCTGGCTCTCAGCCCCCCACTGCTGTAACCTCTAGACCCCCCTGCCCATCCGGAGTAAGAAATAGAACCCAGGAGCCCTGGCTCTCAGCCCCCCACTGCTGAAACCTCTAGACCCCCCTGCCCATCCGGAGTAAGAAATAGAACCCAGGAGCCCTGGCTCTCAGCCCCCCACTGCTGTAACCTCTAGACCCCCCTGCCCATCCGGAGTAAGAAATAGAACCCAGGAGTCCTGGCTCTCAGCCCCCCACTGCTGAAACCTCTAGACCCCCCTGCCCATCCGGAGTAAGAAATAGAACCCAGGAGTCCTGACACCTAGGCCTCCTCGCTGTGACCAATACCTGCCAATCCCCTCCTGAAGCTAGGAGTAGAACCCAGGGGTCCTGTTCCCTCCAGCCTTTCTTTCACCCCCAACCCATGCAGCCCCTTGTAGCTCAAGGACTCACTCACCAGCCCCATCTTGGGGGGGGGGGGAGGCAGGAGCCCCTCCTGCCCAGCCCCGAGCCCTGCGATGTGTGGTGGGGATTGGGTGACAGTCCCGGGGCGAATGCAGTGACTTGTGCCATGTTTGGCCCAAACATCAGTGCTATCTGGGCAGGAGGGACCTGGCCAGGATTGGGCGTGTACGTCCCCTCCAGCCCCACAGCACCCCCTACAGCACTGTTGTGCAGTGGAACCAGTGCCCCCTGCTTAGTAACCCCCCCCACACACACAGTGCCCTTTCCTTGGGGGTCTCCCACCCTGCCCAGCTCCCAGCTTGAGGGCTGGTACTGCCCCCTCCCGGTGCTGATCCTGCCTCTCCCTCCTTAGGGGGCCATCGTGGCCGTGACAGGGGATGGCGTGAACGACTCCCCCGCCCTGAAGAAGGCTGACATTGGCATCGCCATGGGCATCGCCGGCTCCGACGTCTCCAAGCAGGCAGCCGACATGATCCTGTTGGACGACAACTTCGCCTCCATCGTGACGGGGGTGGAGGAAGGTGGGTGCCCAGGCTGGTGTGGGGGCAGGGAGGCAGGCAGTGCCCTCCCTCCCTGCATCCCTCTCCCTGTTCCCTCAAACCCAGCCAATTTGTGACCTGGACATCAACCAAGCACCAGGCAGGCACCAGGATCCAGGGCACCCGAGGACGTGGGCCTGGCACTGGCTCGTCCAGCCCAGCCCCCGCCCCAGATCAGCCCCCTGCTGCCTTGCTGTGGGGAGCGCTGGAGCAGTCGTCCAACAACAGAGCCCTGATGGGTGCCCAAAGCTCCCAGAGCTGGCTGGAGCAAGCTGTGTGCCGGCCCACGCCGGAGTAGGCTGGTGCTGCTGGGCTTGGAGCCTGGCCCGGTGTCACTGTCTCTGGGCCAGGCTGGCACCCGGTATGCTGAAAGTGGAGGAAGCTGATGTTGCCACTTCCCTGATTGTGCCAGGCCTTGCCAGAGGCAGCAACACGGCATTCCCCGCCCCTTCTGATCCCTCCACTCACCCACCCACCCACATTACCATCTTTGTCCTCTGCCCAGCCCCCCTCTGCCCCACGACTCTAGCTCTCCCTGTGCTTGCTCTTGCCAGGCCGCCTGATCTTCGATAACCTCAAGAAATCCATTGCCTACACGCTGACCAGTAACATCCCCGAGATCACCCCCTTCCTGCTCTTCATCATCATCAATATCCCGCTGCCCCTGGGCACCGTCACCATCCTCTGCATCGACCTGGGCACTGATATGGTGAGGGACGGGCGCTGTCTGGTGGGGGAAGGGAGCAGGGGTGTGATGGGATGGGGGAAGGTGTGGAGTGATATCGTAAATGGGGGAGGGGTGAATGAGAGCGGGGTGGGGGAGGAGAGTAATGCCCCAGGGCAGGGGATGGCACTAACAGGAGTTTCCGCGCCTCTGCCCTTAGCCTTGGCCGCAGCTGAGCCCAGAAGATGCCCCTACTCCTGCCCGTGGCTCGGGGGCACTGAGTCCCTCATGGGTGCCAGGGCGAACTGGGTGCAGCAAGCTGCCAGGTCCGCTGGGGGACCCGAGGGGCCGGGTCTGGGGATTGGGCCCTGCAGGCAGTGAGGCCAATAGCTCCTTCTCCTCCTGGCACAGGGATGGAAGCAGTGAGGATTCAAGCCTGGCTTCGTTTGCATGGCGCAGTGGGCTCTGCCCTCCCTGGGCTCTGGGCAGCCCCACTCCCTGCGTCCCAGGCCCCAGCCCTGGGCCACCGTGGCAGGAAGAGGGTGGTTTGAGTTGGTAGCACCAATCCCAGACTGGCTGCACTACAGTTTGTGCTCAGTGTCATGGCATGGAAGTCCCCCAGCCCTCAGCACAGCCCCCCTGAGTGGGCTGCAGCATGCTGGTGCCACGTGGCCATGTAGGTGCCTTGCACTGGCCTGGCTCTGCTGGGCAAAATTATACCCCTCCCGCCATGTCTCAGCCTGTCTCAATGGGGGCAATCCAAGCTGAATGACCCATAGGCTAGATGGATGCATGGGTGGATGGGCAAGGCAGTCAGTGGGCGGAGGGAGGGAAGGATGGACAGGCAGGTCAGTGGATGGAGGGAGGGAAGGACAGGTCGGTCAGTGGATAGATGGAAGTGGGGAGGGAGGGTTGGACAGGCAGGTCAGTGGATGGAGGGATGGACAGGCAGGTCAGTGGATAGATGGAAGAGGGGAGGGAGGGAAGGACAGGCAGGTCAGTGGATAGATGGAAGTGGGGAGGGAGGGTTGGACAGGCAGGTCAGTGGATGGAGGGATGGACAGGCAGGTCAGTGGATAGATGGAAGAGGGGAGGGAGGGAAGGACAGGCAGGTCAGTGGGGCTTGGAGGGATGGAGACCCTGCAGACTCCGAGCAGGGAGAGTGGAGGTGGGGCGGGTGCCAGGAGACAAGGGGGTTGCAGTGAGCCCAGGAGAACTGAAGCTGACTCTCGGGCGGCCTTTCCAAGCCACACAGTCTATGGGGCCATGGACTCATTTCCTCCCTGGACGCATCATTATTGAGCAGTTCAAACCGGGCTGGAGATGCCCTCGCTGTACCACCAGACAATCCCGCCCCGGGTGATGGGCCACTGAGGGTTCTCCATCCCCAGAGCGTGGGAGCCTGGAGTCCAACAAGGAGCTTAGGCCTGGATTTGAGCCCTGAGTCCCTCCCTCAAGATGCCACGGGAGGAAGGGGCTTCCTAGCTCTGTTGAGGAGGAGTCCCTGGACCCCAGCCCCATTCACTCCCGGCCCCTCCTGCCCCGCCAGGTCCCCGCTATCTCCCTGGCCTATGAAGCCGCAGAAAGCGACATCATGAAGAGGCAGCCGCGGAACCCCAAGACGGACAAGCTGGTGAATGAGCGACTGATCAGCATGGCCTATGGGCAGATCGGTGAGTGGGGCTGTGGGCACTGGCTGCACCCCGGAGCTGGGACCCCCAGCCCAGGGGCTGCAGGAAGCTATGCTGGTGGTTCAATAGAGGGTGCTCTCCCACGACTTAGGACTGAACCCGGTACCCCAGTGTGGCAGCAGGGGGCGCTGTGCTGCGGGGAGCAGTGGGGGTTGGCACTGACCAGTACCCCAGCGTGGTACCAGAGGGCGCTGTGCTGTGGGAAGCAGTGGGGGTTGGCACTGACCAGTACCCCAGCGTGGTACCAGAGGGCGCTGTGCTGTGGGAAGCAGTGGGGGTTGGCACTGACCAGTACCCCAGCGTGGTACCAGAGGGCGCTGTGCTGTGGGAAGCAGTGGGGGTTGGCACTGACCAGTACCCCAGCGTGGTACCAGAGGGCGCTGTGCTGCGGGGAGCAGTGGGGGTTGGCACCGACCAGTACCCCAGCGTGGTACCAGAGGGCGCTGTGCTGTGGGAAGCAGTGGAGGTTGGCACTGACCAGTACCCCAGGGTGGCAGCAGGGGGCGCTGTGCTGCAGGGAGCAGTGGGGGTTGGCACTGACCAGTACCCCAGTGTGGCAGCAGGGGGCGCTGTGCTGCAGGGAGCAGTGGGGGTTAGCACTGACAAGTACCCCAGTGTGGCAGCAGGGGGCGCTGTGCTGCGGGGAGCAGTGGGGGTTGGCACCGACCAGTACCCCAGTGTGGCAGCAGGGGGCGCTGTGCTGTGGGAAGCAGTGGGGGTTAGCACTGACCAGTACCCCAGTGTGGCAGCAGGGGGCGCTGTGCTGCGGGGAGCAGTGGGGGTTGGCACCGACCAGTACCCCAGCGTGGTACCAGAGGGCGCTGTGCTGCGGGGAGCAGTGGAGGTTGGCACCGACCAGTACCCCAGCTTGGCAGCAGGGGGCGCTGTGCTGCTGGAGGTGGCACCATCCAGGTGAGACACACAGCTCTGGTGCAGCAGCCCAGGTGAGGCCCCACTCAGCCCTGCTGGAGTAACCGTCTGCAGCACCGGAGGATCCTGGGGGCAAGGGCCTTGCCCTTGCAGCCCACCCAGCCTGCGCAGGGCTCTGGCCTGTCAGCTGAGCCACACCCCAGTTGGGAGTGAGCCACATGCAGCGCCGACAGGCTGTGCCGAGCAGCTGGGGTGCTGGGCGGGTCCGTGGAGAGACTGACTCCTTCGCAGTTCGGGCTGGTACTGGACAACCAGGAAGGAAGGAGCATTTACAGGTCTCTCCTTCTCTCTCTCTCTCTGCCGCCCTTCCCACCTACTCTGCCATCCCCCCCGCAGGTATGATCCAGGCCCTGGGTGGGTTTTTCACCTACTTTGTGATCTTGGCGGAGAACGGGTTCCTGCCGTCCACCCTGCTGGGCATCCGCCTGGATTGGGACGACCGCTCCAAAAATGACCTGGAGGACAGCTACGGGCAGGAGTGGGTGAGTGCAGCCCCAGGGAGCCGGGGGCAGGCAGGGCCCCATTTCTCCCCCTGCAGCATTTGCAGAGCTCCCATCAGCCCCCCTCGCAGCTGGAGGACAGGGTACCACTGAGGGGCCGCCTGTGTGGTGTGGGGAGAGGCGTCTTGGTGCCCGAGGGAGCCAGCTGCCCTCCCTCGTGCCCAGTGTCCCGTCCCTGTCCCCACAGACCTATGAGCAGCGCAAGGTGGTGGAGTTCACCTGCCACACGGCCTTCTTCGCCAGCATCGTGGTGGTGCAGTGGGCCGACCTCATCATCTGCAAGACCCGGAGGAACTCCGTCTTCCAGCAGGGCATGAAGTGAGTCCCAGCCCACCCACCCCCCTCAGTCCTGCACCCTTCCGCTCACACAGGACCTGCAGGACTTCTGTCCCCATGTGATGACAGGGGAGGCCCAGTGCCCCAGGGGGAGCTGCGCTGCAGGAAGTGGAGTGTGGGGCTCAGTAGGGGGCTCCCTGCTTGCAAGCAGTGCCTGCCCCCACGTGGCACTAGGGGGCACTGTGCTGCTGGCCGGTCCATCGCTCAGATGAGCCATAAGCCAGCGGTTCTGCTCGCGCCTCCTGGGTGAGCAAATTCCTGATCCCAGCCGGCTTTGCCCAGCCCCCTCAGCACACACCGAAGCCCCCCGCCCATAATCCCCCACCCAAAGCCCTCTGTCCCTGGGACTCCTCGCACTTCTCTGTGGGCTGCCGCAGGCTGGGGCCAGGGCTTGGAGGGGGTTGCTGACCCCCATTTCCTGTGTTGTGTTCTTCTCCACTCCAGGAACAAAATTCTGATTTTTGGTCTCCTTGAAGAGACAGCCTTGGCCGCCTTCCTGTCCTACTGCCCCGGCATGGGAGTGGCGCTGCGGATGTACCCGCTCAAGTGAGTGACACGCGGCCATGGGGCAGGGCCCTGAAGGGCACAGACAGCAGGAAGCTGCTGCCCCCGTCTTGGGGCGATGGGCCTGTGCCTCAGCCAGGCTCCCTTTCCCCAGCACAGTCACCGAGTGGCGCAATCCAGCCTCCACCCCCACAGGGTCTCCCCAGCAGCGCGGTCCCTAATGCTCCCCCGCCCTCCCGTGCTTCAGAGTCCCCCCAGCAGCAGAGTCCCTAGAGCTCCCCCCCGCAGGGTCCCCCCCGGCGGCGCAGTTCCTAGGGCTCCCCCCCGCAGGGTCCCCCCCGGCGACGCAGTCCCTAGGGCTCCCCCCACGCAGGGTCCCCCCCGGCGACGCAGTCCCTAGGGCTCCCCCCCGCAGGGTCCCCCCCGGCGACGCAGTCCCTAGGGCTCCCCCCAGCAGGGTCCCCCCCGGCGACGCAGTCCCTAGGGCTCCCCCCAGCAGGGTCCCCCCTGGCGGCGCAGTTCCTAGGGCTCCCCCCAGCAGGGTCCCCCCTGGCGGCGCAGTCCCTAGGGCTCCCCCCATCAGGGTCCCCCCTGGCGGCGCAGTTCCTAGGGCTCCCCCCCGCAGGGTCCCCCCCGGCTGCGCAGTCCCTAGAGCTCTCCCTCCTCAGGTCCCCCCCCAGTGGCACAGTCCCTAGCACTTCCCCTGGCAAGGTCCCCCCATTGATGCGGTCCCTACTGCTCCCCCCCCAGCATCACCCCGTGGCACAGCCCCTAACGCTCCCCCTGCCCCCCACAGGGTCACCTGGTGGTTCTGCGCCTTCCCCTACAGCCTGCTGATCTTCGTTTACGATGAAGTGCGGAAGCTGATCCTTCGGCGTTATCCTGGCGGTGAGCTCCTGCCCCCTCAGTGCCATGGGCCCCCCCTCCCTCCCGTCCACGCTTTGTCATGCCCCCCCGCCCCGCACAGTGCCACCCGCTCCCACCCACCCGCTCACACTCTGACAGATAACTCCCCAGCTCCCTCCATCCCTGCTGCCCTGGGCCAGAGTTCGACCTGGTGCCTGGGAGGAGAAGGCAACAGGCCTTGGTGCCCTGGGTTTGCATTGGGGCCCTTGAGCTGCCCGCTGGCAGAGACGCTCGGCTCTAGAGGGAGGCTGTGCCAAGCAGGGAATGGACATCATGTCCCCTCCAGCCCAGGCCCATGTCTGACCCACTGTACCTCTCACCCTGCCCTGGCACTGCCATTCCCCAGCCAAGTGCACGCCCTGGAGCCGGGGGCTCCGTCTCTGCCTGCTCCCCCATTTGCTGGCACTGACAAGCTTCTCTCCCTTCCTTTCCCAGGCTGGGTGGAGAAGGAGACGTATTACTGAGCTGGGCCGGCCAGGCGGATTCTCTCTCCACGTCGCCTGGCAGGGAGGGCACTGCTCCGCCAAGGCCGCCTGGCACCACCACAAACCTTAGAGCAGAATGGGGGGAGGGGGCATCAGCATCACACGCTGTCCTGTGTAGATCTAACGCGTAGGCACTAACCCTGCCGGGACGGGGGACGAGACGCCGGATCCCTGTCCTGGTAGCTAGGCGGGGAGGTAGGTGGAGCAGGCCTGACTCCAATGGGCCCCTGCTGATTTCCATGTGGGGAGGGGGGGGTGGCTTGATAAGACACAGAGACCCTGGAAGGGCCTATGGGTGAGAGCGGGGAGCCAAGCTCTGGTGGGTCCCAGCCGGGCTCTGTGGAGCCAGCAGCCCTTGGCCAGAGAAAAAGTGAGTGAATATGTGGGGGGCACCCTAGGGCCCCTGGTGTGAGCATAGGCGCCGACTCCGTGGGTGCTCCAGCCCTGGAGCACCCATGGGGAAAAATTGGTGGGTGCTCTGCACCCACTGGCAGCTCCCCGCCCCCCTCGCCCCAGCTCATCTCCGCCTCCTCCCTTGAGCGCGCCTTTCCCGCTTCTCCCCCTAGCTCCCAGCGCTTGCCTGGCTCGCGGCGTAACACGCTGTGGGAGGGAGGGGGAGGAGCGGGAACACATCATGCTCAGGGGAGAGCTGCGGCCAGAGTGGGGATTTGGGGAAGGGGTTGGAATAGGGGCGGGGCCGGGGCAGGGGGGCGCGAGCCCCCACCGGGGCCATGAAAAGTTGGTGCCGATGCCCATGGGGAAAAATTAGTGGATCCTCTGCACCCGCTGGCAGCCAAGCTCCCCTCCCTGCCCCCGCAGCTCACCTCCGCCTCCTCCCCTGAGCGCGCCGCGTCCCCGCTCCTCCGCCTACCTCCCAGCGCTTGCCGAGCTGAGAGGGGGTCGAGCACCCACCGGCGCGAGCAGAAGTCAGCACCTATGGGTGTGAGGATGAAAGGCACCCCCAGGTAGGGTGACCACCTGTCCCGAATCAGGCAGGACAGTCCCGAAATGCACAGTTCAAGCCCCGGTCCCGGGACAGGCTCAGGGGGGTGCCAGCCTCTTCCCAGTGGTGTGGGGCTGAGGTAGGCCTTAGTGCCGCCATTGCCACAAGGCCCCCCCCCCAGCTCCTCCTCCCCACCCCCTGAGGTGCCCCCGCCCCCAGGGGGCAGGCTGAAAGCTGGAGCTGGGCCATAGTAAGAGCCACCCAGGGAGCCCGGGCCGCTGTGGGGAGCCCCAGACCCTGCACCTGCCCTGTGCGGCACATGCCGGGAGGCAGGGACACAAGATGCTCTCAAGCACCCCAGCCCCCCACTCAGGGCAGGTGGAGGCTCTGGGCTCCCTGCAGCAGCCTGGGCTCCCTGGGTGGCTCTTACCACAGCCTGGGTCTGGCTTCTGGCCTGGCCAGGGGGCAGGGCCTTGAGGGGGAAGAGGAGGAGCAGGGGGTGGAGCCATGGAGAGGGGCGGGGCTCCTGCATGTATCGCACTTCTGCTTTTTGAAAAGGTGGTCACCCTACCCCCGGGCCTGGCATGTAGTGGCTCCGCAAGGCTGCGAGCAGATCCCCAGCCCCCACACACCACTGGGTGGGGGTGCTGGGGGGTTGGGGGGTTGTTTGCTGGGGCAACACTGCCCTGGGTGGGGAGGCAGGGGGTCTGGTCACTGCTCTGGGTGGGGGTGAGGGGGCAGGGGGTCTGGTCACTGCTCTGGGTGGGGGTGGGGGGGCTGGGGATCTGGTCACTGTTCTGGGCAGAGGGGAGGGCAGAAGGGTATGGTCACAGCCCCATGTGTCAGAGGGAGGGTCCAGGGAGTCTGGTCACTGCTCTGGGCTGGAGGTGGAGGGGCAGAGGAGCCCCCAAAAGCAGGCGCCTCGTATGTCGAAGATGTGCAATAAAAGTAATTTAACCCCTTCCTGCCTCAGAGTTCCTTCAGCTCCACGGCCAGTCACAGCCACAAGCCTGCTTGGGAAGCAGGGACTAGAACGTGGGACTTGGCCTCTGGCTCCATCACCTCTGCCTCTGGGCTAACGGGGAGCACGTCCAGCCCTCGCCCTTGAGCCTCTCGAGGGCAGCACGAGCGTGTCGTGTTCCTCGGTGCCAGAGCCGGGCTGGCCTCAGAGCTGGTCACCCCAGCTGGGCTCAGTGTCGTCCGCCAGGCATGGCTGAGGCCTGTTTTATACAGTGTTGTACGCACCGCGCCACCTAGTGGCTGAACAGTATGATACAGTTTAACGTCCCATTACCTCTCCCTCTTTAAGTTCTACATTCCCATTATTTACCATAGTTACACTGACATGCTCTCTTTGAAGTTCAGTGCGGATCAGGCTGCTGAGTGTCTCTAAATCATGCTGGTTTCCTAATTACAGAACCTGAACATGGAACAACTTGGTCATCTGGCTGTCCGTTAGTTACGACTGGCTCTGGTCGGTTTGGCAGCCTTCTTGATCTGCATCTGCCATCTGCAGAGTTTGCTTTGCTGATTGTTCTTTCTGAGGACCAAACTGTAGATGCTGATGATTGCTGCTGAACTCTCCATTGTCGGTCTCGATCACATGTGATCTGGGCTCTGAATTCTTTTTCTGTAAGAAAACTGTAAGTAGATCTTGGAGGTCTCGACCAAGGTACTTTACCATCCCTACTATACCTCTCAGTTCTGGTCCATTCAATTCTCAAATTACTTTTACTTTCTCAGAGCTAGGACTGATTCCATCTTGTCAGTTCCAAAAACTCGATTTGTGATAGGCAGAAAATGCATTTTCTTGTTTACCTTGAATCCAGCCTGACTGATGAGGCTTCGGACTTCATTGTGTGTTTTGATGTGGTTCTTCCATCGAAGATCCATACATCAGACTAGTGTCCATGAAAACTACAACTCCATTTGAGTCTGCTAACAGTGCTGCCATTTCTCTTTGGAAAATTTCAGGTGCTCTGGCAATCCCAAAAGGTGACTGTCAAAAGCAAAATCTCCCAAAGGGTGTGATCAGTGGAATCAGTTTAGCACTTTCTTTGGCTAAAGAAATTTGCCAGAATCCGCTCAAGGCATCCAGCTTGGAGAAGCTCCTTCACTAGAGGTTTTCAAAAGGAGGCCAGGGAGCCATCTGTCTTGGATGGTTTAGACACAACAAATCCTGCATCTTGGCAGGATGTGAGACTAGATGACCCTTGCGGTCCCTTCTAATCTGTGGTTCTATGAATACTGGAACTCCTTTCACTTTGGAGAGGAAATCATCCTGTGTTGGGAGGATATATTTTTCTCTTACAACTGCTTCATTAAGTCTTTTAAGATGATTTATATTTTTAAATTATTTTTTATAACTGGTACCATTGGGGTGCACCACACTGCTGGCTCAGAGATTTTCTCAATTATGCTAGTTAGCTCCATTCTCTTTAACTCAGTTTGCACTTTATGAAGTAATGGGATAGAAATCCTGCTAGGTGCATGTACACTATATGGCTCAGCTTTGTCTCTTCAGGTGATTTGTACTGGATTTCCTTTCAGAAGTCCAAGTTCACCAAATATTCCATTGAATTTTTCCACCTTTCTCACTAGACACCATCATGGCTGCCACACTGCGACTCAGAACGTTGTTGGTCTGTAATCCTTTGATCACATACACTCTGAATGCATAGCTTTTGCTTTTGTAAGTTGTTTCTGTGGTGAACTGGCCCATGAAGTTCAGAATCCCTTCAGGGCTAGTTCGGGCTAGAGTTCAGCTCTGGGAGGGGTTGAAGGTGATTGTAAGGCCCTTCTGAGGTGACTGTGATGTTAGCTCCTGAGTCAATTTTAAAGTCAATAGTCTTGCCAGGAATATTCAGTTTCACTTTCCAGGCAGGCTCTGTGTCATTATAAGTGTTAGATCCCGGAAACAATGGCTCTTGATGGTCTGTAATATGAATCAAATCCCTGACTAGTTTGGTGCAGCAAAGAGGGGCAAAATGTCCATATTTCATGCATTTATTACACCATGCATCTCTGGCGGGACATGCATCATCTCTTGGGATATGACTTTTTCTAAACCTTGTGCGTGTAGGCTGGAATTCATCCCTCTTGGCCTGGGAGTTCTCTCTCCTTGCTTCAGGTCTTATAGGAATGACTTAGCACTCATACTGCATCTATTAACAGCTTCTAAGCTAATTTCTTGTTTTTCAAGTTTGGCAAGTTGCTCTTGGTTTGCTGTGTCACCTGCTCAGACAGCTTTGCTATTTGAATAGCTGTGGCTAGAGTTAAATCTCTCTTCAACTGTAGCTGCCGAGAAAGATTTTTATCTGTTAACCCAATAACCAGCCTGTCTCTAATATTTTCATGTTTTGCATTCTCAGAATGACAGCCAATGTCTGCAGAGCTCTTATAAAACATTCAACATCTCCCCCTGGCCCTTGAATTCTCTGGTGAAAACATGTTCTTTCATAAACCACATTTTTCTGAGGTGTAAAGTATGCATTAAAAATAGCCAGAACCCTTTCATTTGTGACTGCCTTCATTACAGTCAAAGGCATAAATTACAGATGATACCTGCATGTCTCCAGTTTCTTATACAGCTTTGTAGCAATGCAAAATCTTGTCAAGTACGGCTTCTAGTCTGTCCATAGTGAAGGTTTGTCAAAGCTGAAGTTCTCTGGGGCATTGAAGAGCGGCGTGTTGATGAGATCCTGCAACCTTTGTTGCTGTTTTCCTTCTGGTTTTCTCATAATTTACTCCTGACATCATGTCATGTTCCTCTGTACCAGATCTGGCCTGGCTACAGAGCTCGCTTATCCACCCCAGATGTATTCATCATAAGATCCCTTAATGCTCTGCCCAGTCTGGCTGAGGTCTGGTTAAATAAGGTGCCACCTCACTCTGAACAGTCTATACAGCGTAGCATTCCACTGCATGGGGGCCACCGTCTCCCCTCCCCAGAGCATCACAGCAGGAGGCACCTCCTACCATGGGCTGCTCATGGACATCTCTGGCTGTGAGGCGGGGGCTGTGTATAATACTCTCCTGGCAATGTGGGGGGGGGGAGCACATCTGCAGTGGGCCAGCCCCGCCATTCACATGCCATTGGGCCCCTGCCTATTGCATCCTGCCAGCCCCACCCATCACATGCCTTTAGGCCCCTGCCAAGGGCCTGGGCTGGGCTCTTGGTAGGTGCTCAGCAATCACTGGAGGGATGGGGGGTGAACATGAGGGGGATTGGGCAGGAGGACTGGGGGGCAGGGGTTTGGAAGGGCGGAGGAGGAAGAAGTTGTGGAATGGAAGATGTGGGAGGAACGGGCAAGGTGAGGGGGGCAAAGGCAGTTCAGAGAGAAGGCGGAGGCTGGATGGGGATGTGGTGTTGGGACTGACAGGAGGGGCTGGTAGGTAGATTGGGGATGGGAGCAGGTGGGTGGGGTGAAGGCTGGCAAGAATGGGGGAGAGGTGCGGTGGGGGATGGGGGTGAGGGCTGGCAGGGAAGTGGAGGGTAGAAGCAAGGGTGAGGATTTGTGGGGGATGGGGTAGGGGTAGGGGTGAGGGTTGGTGGGGGATGTGGGTGATGGGGTAGGGGTGTGGTGTGACGGGGGGGGCTCCCCCTGCCAAAGTGTTGTTCTTGAGCCTTTCTGCTCCCATTCTCTCCCTCCAGCATCTCCTCCCCTGACAGCAGCCCCGCCCCTGCCCCTGCCATAAGGTGCAAACGCGGGGGGCTGTGTGCCCATCAGGCTCTGCAATGCAACTCCCACCCTTCGCCCCATGGCTCCAGCAGCATGGATCCCACCCCGGCAATGGCGCCCCCCATTGGCCAGCAGGTGATGCCGCTGCCCGAGCACTTGTGCTGGTAAGAGGAGCTGGGCTGTCGATGTAAAAATAAGCCTCTGGGTCAGCAGAAAGAGCCGAAACCCCTCGCGCCCGCTGCCAGGGCCCAGGCATTTCGCACTGATTAAAATAAGAGCAGCTGTTGGTCTATAAATAGAGCCAGGGCATAGCTTGCCTTAAAGACCAGCACTCCCAACAGCGAGAGGTTCGCGACCTGCCCCATGCCACCTGTCCACAGGCAGTCACAGTGGGGCACCTGGCATTCCCTTCCCCCGACTCGCGTTGCCCCAGAGTCCTGGGGGGGTTCGAGGCTCCTGCAGGGTCTGCAAGCCAGAAGTACTGCACATGGGTGCTAAATCGTGCCAGTGGCTGAGATCAATTTACACATTGCAAAGCCATGGCCAGTGCATGGAAGGATTCACTTAGGCCAATAACGGGGCCCTCTCAGAGAGAAATCCACCCTTTGCCAGGCTCGCCTTTCTGCCCGCAGAGGGGCCGATCTCACCAGAGCAGCCCAGAAGTTCTCACGATTTGCGTCATGGCCCCGATGAGGATGGGGGCCCCGTTGTGCTGGGCGCTGCACACACACAAGGAAAACTTGTGCTCTGCCCCAGAGAGCTTCCAAAGCAAGGATGAGACAAGAGGCCACAGGGCAGTTTGTTTATGGCACTTTCTACCTCTTTGTTTTTTTGACACCACAAACTGTTCCCGCCACGTCGCATGTGCCTCGTAGGGGAAAGATGTGCGGGTTGAAGACGCCCACGTTCTCGCCGCAGATGCTTGGGGTCCAGAAACAGCCCCACAGCAAGCCACAGACGTCACCCTCCTACACCGAAGGCCTCGTGCTAATGTTGGCACCGCAGACTGAGCGGTGGAAGGGGCTTGTGGCGAAGGCACCAGGCTGGCACCCAGGAGATCAGGGTTCAATTTCTGGCTCTGCCATAGATTCTCTGTGTGATCTTCCCACTGGAGCTAAGCGTGTGGCCTCTCTCCAGCCCTTTGCCGAGGGCTGTGGTCATCCCTGTTGGGAGGGGGCAGCTGTAGGAACAGAAGTGCCTCATTAGACTGGAGGGAATTGAGCTGGGAAAGCAGCATGAGCAATAGCCCCAAAGCGAGTGCGAGGAAGCAGAGTTGCTGCGTTACCCTTACAGTGACCCTTCGGAATAGCAGCGTTATCTCCTTTAACCCAGGGGGGATTAGATCCACCTTGGTCCCATTGTCACTTTGATCCCAGTGCTCCAGGATGTGAGAGTCCTGGCAGAACAGCTCCACCAGGAGAGCTCAAGAGCCCAGCCCCCAGATGTCCCATAGTGAGGGCTGTCCTCTGGGAGAGCCAAGTTCAGTCTTGGCTCTTCCATCTTCACATGAGGCAAAGCGGGGATTTGAACTGGCACCTCCCAATCCTGGCTGGGTGCTCCATGCACTGAACTAAAGGATATAAGATCAGGGCGGGGAGCGGGGGCAGGTGTCATCTCCACTTGTGGCTCTTCTGTGGGGTTTCAACGTGCTCAGAGCATGTCTAGTAGATCCCCCCATGGGCTGCCTAGTTTGTGAATCCCACTGGGGCTCGAAAGCAAGTTAGGTGCTTGCGGGGGCGGAGGGGGTGTCAGGATCTCTGTGTTGGTCCAACCACCCAAATTTAGGTGCCTCAGGGACTTTAATGGTGGAAATTCAGGCACCGAGGAACTTTCGGCCCCTATAGGGTCAGGAAGCAGCTGAGCAGGGAGTTGTCAATGCCAGTGGTGCCTAAATGTTGGAATGAAGCATTAGGCGCCTACATCCCCCTTGCGAATTCCACCCCTCGGCGCTTTAGAAACTCCCATGAGGCGCTCATCTGCATCTGTAGGCACCTAAACCCCTCTGACATCTAGCCAGAGTTACCAGTTCTGAGTGATTTATTTTCTTGAATATCCTTAAAGGCAACACAAGCAACATGAAGCTGGTAAATTAAAAGCAGAGTCCCCTCATCTCTGTGTGCAGGGAAGAAAAAATTGGCGATCGTCTTTAATGGACCCCAATTTCCCGAGATGACTTAGGCTCTTTGATTACTGTTGGCCTTTTCACACAATGACAGGCCGGTCAGTTTCATTCCCTGGTTCTCAGCCAAAGGCTGTTGTGTTTGGGTCCTTGAAAATCCACACTAAATTTCCTCTCCCCATTTTGGCTTTATACCTCCCCCTGCCCCCTTCACAAATAAAAACCTGACCGTTTGACAGGTTTGCACCTAAATGATCATTTAACCCTTTCAGTGCTTTTAAAAAGAGCACGGGAAAATGGTTGGGCATGCAAGCTGCAGTGGAAAGAATCCCTGGGCCCTTTGAAATCTGCCAGAAACACCTACCCTTTTCCGCTCCCCATGAGGACAGTAATAACACATTGCATTTCTGTTGCAGCTTCAGCCTTAGTGGAGTCCAAATCAGTCACTTCTCTGATCACTGAAATGCAGCCACCTTTGGGGTGGGAACGCAACAGTGCTGCACATCATCTTAGGACAGGGAGGGAAGAAGAAACCACCTGTATCCAGCTGAAACTGCAGGGAGACAGAATGGAATTATCCCAGGTAGATTTGGAGTCAACGCCACAGCTCTTGGGAAAAGTGCTTTGAGATCTCTAGAGACCACAACAGATTGGAACAACCAGACACAGCCCTCAATCTGCTCCCTGCAGCACAGCACCCCATAGTGCGGCACTGGGACATTGGAGTCACTGCTGACTGTGAGGGGAGAGCTCCCCCTACTGACCTTCCTGCCCCCTGGGTCATTGGGTCAGCACTGACTGAGAGTGGATAGTTCTCTGAAGACGTCCATGCAGTGTGCAGAAGCAGTCAAAAAGCAAACGGGATGTTAGGAATCATTAAAAAAGAGATAGAAAATATGATGGAGAATATCTTATTGCCCTTACATAAATCCATGGTACACCCACATCCTGAATACTGGGTACAGATGTGGTCCCCTCAACTCAAAAAAGATATACTGGCATTAGAAAAGGTTCAGAAAAGGGCAACTAAAATGATTAGGGGTTTGGAACAGGTCCCATATGAGAAGAGATTAAAGAGGCTAGGACTTTTCAGCTTGGAAAAGAGGAGACTAAGGGGGGATATGATAGAGGTCTATAAAATCATGAGTGGTGTGGAGAAATTGAATAAGGAAAAGTTATTTACTTGATCCCATAATATAAGAACTAGGGGCCACCAAATGAAATTAATGGGCAGCAGGTTTAAAACAAATAAAAGGAAGTTCTTCTGCACTCAGTGCAGTCAAACTGTGGAACTCCTTGCCTGAGGAGGTTGTGAAGGCTAGGACTATAACAGGGTTTAAAAGAGAACTGGATAAATTCATGGAGGTTAAGTCCATTAATGGCTATTAGCCAGGATGGGTAAGGAATGGTGTCCGTAGCCTCTGTTTGTCAGAGGGTGGAGATGGATGGCAGGAGAGAGATCACTTGATCATTACCTGTTAGGTTCACTCCCTCTGGGGCATCTGGCATTGGCCACTGTCAGTAGACAGGATGCTGGGCTGGATGGACCTTTGGTCTGACCCAGTATGGCCATTCTTATGTTCTTAGGGGAGAAAACCTCCTCCTGAGCCCTTACCCCATGCCTTGCAGCACAGCGTCCCCTAGCACCTTACTGGGGCATTGGGCCCAGGCCTGACTCAGAAGGGATACAGCATTGCCAACCCCAAAAGTTCAAAAGGTATGAATCTGACTTCAAAAAGTAGAGAGATTGGCCCCAAAAACATGAGTTTAAAAAAGATTAAATTGTGAGTATTGGTCTGTTCTCTGACCCTGAACTTTCCCTAATTCTAACCCCCAAGAGCCGCATAGCAATTCTGTGCCCCACATCAATTAATTTTGTGCCTCAGGCTCATCTCTCTGCCCCTTGCCCCTGTTCCTACTGCAGCTGTGAGGCTCTTTGCTGTGGGGAAGGGGGCAGCTCCAGCAGGGGATGCTATCGCCCCGGTAGGGGGGCAGGGCTGAGCTTCTGAGCTCTTTTGGCTCCTTCTGGCCCCTTCTCCACTCATATTTTTATGTCAGTCCGTGGGGTGGGGGAGCTCCAGCTGCCTTCAGCAGCAGCTGTTTGGTGTGTGTATGTGATCTATGTTCTATTAAATGTCAAAAAATGTTGTGAACACAGAGTTAAGGTTGCCTGGGAGTAGCTCATGCCCTTCCAGACTGGCAAGATCAGCAAAACTCAAACTTCAGAAAGCCAGGATTTGGAAATATAGTGCGAAGGTAACAGCCATATCACCTTAACTCTGCCCCTTGGAGCTGGCAAAAATTAGCTGCACACACTCCAGCTGCAATCAGTGAGTCAGGGGCAGCTGTACTGAATGGTGGAGGAATAAACTGGAGCAGCATGGAAGGACTGTGACTGTGAAATGAGAGGATGGAGGGGTTAGTTTGAGGAGCGGCACAGAGCTGTGACTGTGTCAAAGAAAAGAGATGTGTGTGTACCTTCAGGTTCCAGTCTGCATCATTCAGTACAGAATTATGTAGGTTGCATCAGTAGCAGCTACTTCTTTTAAAAAAATAATTAGATAAGTTCCTGGAGGCTAGGCCCATCGATGGCTATTAGCCAAGATGGTCGGGGTGCAACACCAGGCTCTGGGTGTCCCTAAGCCTCTGACTGCCAGAAGCTGGGAGTGGACAAGAGGGGATGGATCACTTGATGATCACCTGTTGTGTTAATTTCCTCTGAAGCACCTAGCATTGACCACGGTCGGAAGAGAGGATATTGGGCTAGATGGACCATTGGTCTGACCCAGTACAGCCATTCTTATATTCTTAGCAGGGCAGTAGGCTGTCGGTATCAGTAGGGATGTGCAATATGAGGGTGTCTGTGGATTAAATGATGGGCAGGGGAAGGTAGAGGTGTAGGTGGTATACTGTATGCTTGTGTGAAGGGGTTGTAAAAGAGGATGAAGAGGTTGTTAAATGATACAAGGGTGGAGCTCTGTCAGGGGAATAGGCTCAGTGTTCAATTGCAGGGCATGTACAGGTAGCAGCTGCCCATTATAGTGACAAGGAGAGGGGGAATATGTGCTATGGGTATATTTGAGCTTCTTTCAAAGAGGGAACAGTTACAGTTATGTGGGCTTTTACCTTCATGCTGTATTTCCTGATTCTTGGGAGTCTGAGTTTTGCTGCACGTGCCATTCAGGAAGGCCACGAGCTATCTCCAGGAACCCTCAACTCTGCATTAACAAAGTTTATGACATTTAATTCCCTACTTCTTTAAAGAGAAAAAGAAATGTTTGTTGCAGGAGTTAGTGTCATTTCGACATTTGTAGTTCTCATCCGGGTTTGCAGTTCATATGGCTTCTGCGGCTAGGTAATAATCAAAATACCTGGCTTTTATACAGTGCTTTTCATCAGTAGAAGAAATTCGCAAAGAATTTTATATCTCTATCCCCATTTTTCAGGTTGGAATCTGAGGCACAGAGAGGTGAAGAGACTTGCCCAAGATCACCCAGCCAACCAGTGGCAGAGGAATAGTCCCAGTCCCAGTTGTCTTTCCACTAGGCCACACAGTTGCTCTGTGATTCCTCAGGGCTCTCGCCACATACAACTTATTAGAGTGGACTAAGCATAGTGGCCATGTTTTGAAATGTTTGCAGTACACAGCTGCTAACAGGGCTGATGAGAGAAATCTCATCCATGAGCCATGTCCCAAAACCTCAACAGTTTTATTACATGGTGGTTACAGTAACTTTAAGCGTGTGAGAGAAGACTGGTTGTCTACCTCCTTCTGCACCTCCTGCCCCACCGTTCCCTGCAACATGTAGGCCCCCTCCAACATTTCCAACTCCCCCTCCCCTTCCTGTCCCGTTAAGCCATTAGCTGGCCTTGTAGAAGCCGGTAGCATGTAAGATGTTGCTCCTAACTGTCCCCAACCCGCTGCGGCTATGCACATGTCTCAAAGGCAGCAGCTTGCTGGAAGGTCGCATGCTGCTTTGGTTAATAGCCAGAGCTGCCCTCTGAGCTTGGCCTCCCACTCCCATTACCCACCCCCAGCTGGAACTGCTGCCCTGTTTCAGCCAGGCTTCCCCAGCCACCCCCGAGGTCTACCCAGTCAGCCCCTCCTCCAAACCGGGCTCTTCCCCCACACTCTGGCCAGTCCCCACACCCCACAGGGATGACGTGGATCTTTGCTATTCATTTGCTGGATTTCAGTTGTTTAAATGTGCTTTACCTTTGTTCCCTCCACCCCAGATCCCAGCTCACATGGGGATCAGGGAGAGGGGCTCAGACACTCACAAGGAGCTGATCATCCCTAACTGTTCACAGTTCATCCTCAGATTCCTGCCCAATTTCACAATTGCTAGAATCTGTGAACTTAACAAAGAATGTAATGAAATGTGGTTCCCCCCACAATCATAGTGGGGGAGGCTGTAACTTAAGAACCTCCTGCCTGACAGACCCCACATTTGGATCTTGACACTAACTCCAGCCTATACTCCCATCTGGCATAGAAAAATTCAAGCCAATCTATGTAAGCAAGCAGATTTTAGAGCACAAAGGATACATCTACACTGCAATACAACACCCACAGAGCCCAGGCTCAGAGCCCGTGTCCATTGGCTCAGCCTTGCAGGGCTCAGGCTTTGGGGCTAATAATAACAGTGCAGACATTAGGGCTCAGCCTGAGACTTTCTGGGAGGCGTTTTGGCTTCAATTATTGTCCCCTTTCTGGTCTCCCCAATAACCTGCTATTAATGTAACAAAGCACAGTCATCCAGTGATGCCCGGGACAGCAACCAGACAGACATGGAAACGATCACAGAGCAGCCCCACGTGCTGCACAGCTGTGATTGGCTGCTCTTCCCCAGGAGGCCAGAAAGAGTTGCTGGACTGGCCTGGAAATTGATAATGACCCTTACTTAGCCCCACCCACCTACCTCCTGCAGTCAGCACCCCCTAGTGAGCCCCCACCCCTCTACCTGCTGCACAGTGCCCCCTGCTGAGCCTCCACTCCTCTACCTACAGCACAGCACCCCCTAGTGAGCCCCCACCCCTCTACCTACAGCACAGCACCCCCTACTAAGTCCCCAGCCCTCTACCTACAGCACAGAGCCCCCTGCTGAGTCCCCAGCCTGCCCCCTACAGCACAGCACCCCCGACTGAGCCCCTGCTCCGCCTCTTGAGAGCAATGCTCTCTAGCATGCCACCACCTTGCCCCCTGCACCACTGTGCTCCCTACCAAGCCCCCACCCCTCTTCCTGCATTGCAGAGACCCCTGCTGAGCTCCCACCCTGCTCCCAGCAGTACAGTGCCCCCTACAGAGCCCCATCCCTCTCCCTGCAACACAGCACCCCCTACTGAGCCCCCACCCCACTCCTTGGAGCACAGCACCCCCTGCTGAGCCCCAGCCCCACTCCCCACAGCACAGCACCTCCTGCTGAATTCTCACCTACTCCCTGCAGTATAGCGCCCCCTACTGAGCCCACAGCACCACTCCCTGCAGCACAGCACTCCTACCATATACCCACCCTGCCCCCTGTGGCACAGTACTACTGAACCAGCAGTACCACGCCCCCTCCAGCATTCCCACCCTGCACAGCACCCCCTGCTGAACCACCCGCACCACTCCCTGCTGCACACGGCTTCCCGATGAGTTCCCACCCCACTCCCTGCCACACAGCACCCCCTATTCCTCCCTGCCCTGCTCCCTGCAGCACAGCACATCCTCGCACCATGCTGGGGCATGTGGGGTCAGTACTGACTGTGAGGGGAAAGCACCCCCTTCTGGTTCACACACTGCCTGCATCACCCAGACGCTCCTTGGGGGCCCGAATCTGTTTGTCCCAGATGGTCAGAGAGGATCCCAGCACAGGGCAACCCAGCCCCAGAATCAGTGAGGTGGGGACCCCAGA